CATATTTTGAAGTGATAATTTATATACAACATGCAGTTTGCTATATGGCTTTGCTGTTATCTTAATATACTTGCATGTAAAAGTGGGCAAATAGTGATAAATTATTCATGAACTGTTTCACAAACTAAGTACCAAGTTTTGGTTCGCCATGTTTGTGAGCCCTTCATTCATTTTGCTTTTGGACATTCATAAGAATTCTTTGTAGGAATATCCACAAACAGCAAGCATTTAATCTGAAATGTATTTACTGAGTACTTTGTTTTGGCAGAGAAACAAATTCAGTCATAAATTGCACAGTGCTAGTAAGAAATAAGCAAACATTCATACAAACAAACAAAAAACAAAACACTTTAAACAAACCAATAGGATGAAATTCTTCAAACTGGTGGAAATCACCAAAATAAAATAAAATAAATCCTTTTAATACATATCAAAATTGTTTGGGTTTTTTTACTTGAAAATTTTCTAATTAAAAAAGGCCAACTTTTGCCAAACTGTTTTGTAATAAATATTTCATCTAGATTTCTTTGCATGCTATTTTCCCTCATACAGTGACCTTTTCAGATCCCATACAAATATGGTATTTGCCTGGATCAGTAGTTGGGTGGGAAATCTTTTGGGAGGGCAGAAGCTATGAAGCTTCTAATTCCAAGATAAGAACAATGCCCTGTGATAAAGTTCCTCCTCTACCTTGGTGGGTCCTGCACTTATTGGCAGATTTTACTAGCCTCAGAGATCTTCCTGTGTTGGATCAGGAGTTGGGAGATTTTTGGGGGAACCCAGGCCTGCTCTTTACCCCGGGTTCCAGCCCAGGGCCCTGTAGACTGCAGCTGTCTAGAGTGCCTTCTAGAACAGCTACAATTCCCTGGGCTACTTCCCCATGGCCTCCTCCCAACACCTTCTTTGTCCTCACCACAGGACCTTTCTCCTGATGTCTGTTAACACTTGTACGCCTCAGTCCTCCAGCAGCACATACTCTCACTCCCAGCTCCTTACACACACTCCTCACTAACTGGAGTGAGAGCCTTTTTATACTAGGTGTCCTGATTAGCCTTAATTAATTCTAGTAATTCCCAGTTGGCTATAGGTGTCCTAATTAGCCTGCCTGCCTTAATTAGTTCTAGAAAGTTCCTGAGTGTTCTGGAATAGTCCAGGGAAAAGAGACATGCTTAACCTGGAGCTAATGTATCTACCTTCGACCATTCTCTTGCAGCCATCTGGCCTGACCCTGTCACAGCCCTTAGTTTAGGTGATACTTTTGCATTTTATACTTTAATATCAAAATATAGTAAGGTGTTGCTTTTTTGTTGTTTGTTTTTAATTGTTCTTTCATTTGGGGATTTTGTGGTACACCATGCCATGGTCAGATTTGTTGTCTTCTATAATATTAGTGAAACATTTGGAAATACTGTGGAAAAAAATTGTTCCTTGTTTGCTTCCATCACATTGGTAATTCTGTTTGGGTGTAATACCCCTCCCCTCAAACTGGTTTTGTTTTATCTATTTAGATTACAAATTTTTTAGCATAGGGATTGTTTGTAGAACTGGCCTGAAAATGGAATGTATGTCCTGCGGAAAATGTTGAGGGAAGGGGGTGGGGAATAGCCCTGCTTCAGAATGAAAGTAAAAAAACCCTTTTTTTTTTTGCCAATCAGAAATATTGAGAAATTCCCTTTCAGGAGAAACAAAGTGGAATTTTTCAGCATGTCGGGTGTCCTCTTGCAAAAGTTTTTTTTTTTATCAATTTCACTTTTTGTGCTCAGTCAGGAAGCCATTTCATTTTTTCTGACAAAAAATGAAAAATTTTCAGAAAATGTGAAATTTTCCCTCTGAAAATTTCATTTTTTTTCAAAAAGGCTTTTTCCATCAGAAATTCATGTAGAGAAAATTTCCTACCAGCTGTGTGTGCTACTCTGTGCATATATGTTGCCCAACAGAATGGATCTGTTTAGACAAGATGATGATAGTAACGTTTTCTGTGAAGAATATGAGTTACTCTGAGAAGAAAACCTGCAAAATGAATTACTTTTTGTTTTCTTCCTGTCATTCATATATATTGCTCAATGCTAGTTTTTTCATTAACTTAATAGGAATAAATTGGCACTTTTGGTATTACAGTTGCTCTGTATTTGTAATTTAATATTTCAGTCATTCATAATCACCAATTTTCAGATGGTCTCACTAGAGTATATTAAGAAAAGATGCAATATTTTCATCAGGCTACTTTAATGTGTAATAAAGTGGAGGAAAACTATGAAGTAAATGAAGCATTTGAAGAAACAGGAAAACAAAAGAACAAAGGGTGGCATAATAGTGTAAAAAATAATAATTGAAAATGAAACCATCAAGTAAAGCATAAAAGTTATCTTGCAAAGCTATTATACTAAAAAATGCTTTCAGTACTATCCGTATGATCATTAGCTCGTTTATTATCCTTGGTTATATATTCTTCTTGCAGTTGCTATCTAACACCTAATGTTAAAGATCCTGCTTCTGGTAGTATACAGATTACATATGGAGACACATTACCAATGAAATCTTCCTAATTTTTAGTTATATTTATCTTCTTTTGTGTTAAAATCCAGTGATTCCTTTAAGTTCACTTACAAATACCCAATCATAGAACATTCAGATTAATATATTTACATGCTAACTGAATGATTTAAAGTACACATTTCAACACAGTGTACATATGATTAATCTTAAGAAAACATAATGTATGTTTACTGTTTAGAAACTGTTATTTTCTCCTTAATTTTCTAAGTAAAGTACAGCAGGCAATTCCAAGAGACATCACTTCCCATCACCACCACCAAAAAACAACAAAAAACCTCCAATGAAATAAAACACTAAAATATAACATACTAACAATCTACATAATTGGCAACCTTTAATTACTTATCTGTTCCCACTGAGCACTGAAAAAAAATAAAAAAATAAATAAATAAATCAGATACCATCTTATTATATAAAGATCCAAAAAATAATTTAAAAACTGGCAGCTGGTCAGCCATCCCATTGTAGGGATCCAGTCTGTTTCCTTTACTGAAACTTTGCTGCATCAGTGCTGACTTTCATTATGCATCTTCTCTCTGAATAGCCTGACTCTCTGTGAGGAGAACATACAGGCTGAGCACTAATTTATTTCAACAAAATTAAACTCGTGCAGCTCACAGGTTTTCTGCCCTTTCAGTCTGTGAAAGGCAGTTCAATTCAGGTAATATGCCTAGCTTTCCCCCAATGCTTTGGGGCGGGGGAAGAAACTGGGGTTTGATCCTTACATACTGCAGAATGAACACAGAATTACCCACAAGCCTTAGAAGCTGTCCATCTGGAAATAAGGCTTAGAGTGGAGAAAGGTGATAGAACCTGCACTACCACTGCCCATAATCTCCAAGGTCTGTGGATAGAGGTCTTCTATCTGACTCCCTAAGTCATTTACGTAGTTCTAGTCCTTTCAGTATCTAGCACCTTTCATGAGCTCAAAATTCACATAAAAGCAGAACAGAGAGAGGAGCCAATTTTTCATTTTGGTGGCTTGAACCAAAAAAGAAGAGAGAATTCCATTCAGGTCAATACAATACACAATGTATTTTTTTTTTTTTTACTTTCTTTCCAAATAATGAAAGAGTTAAAAACAAGTTTCAGGTCAAAGGAAACATTTTTTTTTCAACCCAAAATGAAATATTTCATTTCTGATGTTTTTAATCTCCTTTTTTATTTTTTTTAAATAAAATTCAATGAAATTCTGAAAAGAAAAGTCAAAAGTCTCAACCCCGCGGTGAACCCAGAGTAAGAAAAGAGGCCCACAATAGACTGCACGACCTTATTAGGGCACAGTGCTTATCACAGGACGCTTATGTGGGTTATTTCCATAGTTTTTACTGCAGAAACCATTTCTGCGGTTTCCGCATTGTTTTGTTCTTCCTAATAAGGGAAAGACAGTTTGGGCACTAAGAAGCCAATCAATGCGTGCCATACTTACCTTCTGAACTCTATAGTTAGAGTTGTCCCTGTATAGCAACCAGAGGTGTCCCGAAACGATTCAACGTCACTACCAGTCCAGGTCTGATCAACCAGGACTTGACCCTCCAACTCTCGAATCCTGCCTGAGTGTGTGTCGTGTTGCCGGCCGAATTCACTATGTATATGCTCTCCCATCTGGCTGTCATTTGCATGGTCGTAAGTAACTAGCTAGACAGAATTTTCTGTTTGCTTTCTTTTTGCTTATCTCCCTCCATTGTGTTTTTGTTGGGGGGGGGGTTGTTTTTCTTACGTGCTTCCCATCCCTTGCCTTACTTGTTTAAATTTAGTTATATAGTGTTGTAGTTGTAGTTGTTTGATAAGGAATCGTGGCATTAATAATTGTTATACTTACCATCCTATAATAAAATTGAGTTGTATCCAGTTCTCCTCGCCCCGGGTCATTCAACTCAATCTTTCACCGAGAATCCCTAAAAGAACCCCTAGCCCCAATTGGGCGGAACACTTTACTTAAAAATACAATGACATCATAATAGGAATATAAATATTTACAAATTATAACTAAAATTGAAGGTACAGTGATGTAGTTTTCACCTGCAGGGTGGTGATGAACTTGAGTACATATCAAATTGACCTATGATTAATATAGATAGATAAAACATCTGTACGTTAAGATGTTGCTGTTATTACTGCAAATATGGTTCATTTTAGCATGTTTTGTAAACATACATATTTAAAATAGAATGTGCTCTGTATTCTTCATAAATATTTGCTTGCTATGGGGTCTCTTTTCTCAGTATAAAAAGATACTTCCATTAGTGTTAAAGGCATACTTTTAATGGAAACACATATAGGATATGGAAAACATTTGGAGTTATATTTTGGATATAACTGAAATTTCATTGCTGCTATTTGTTTTTCCTAATATAAAAGTTGACCGGTTTTATAAAGTTTGGTATAAATTGCAATGGGCAATAAGTGTTTTGTTTATAATTTTGTTTTTGTATTATCCTCAGAAAGAAAAGTTGGAAAATGAAGGAATCAGTAAAGTCCAAACATGAGATACCAGTAAACTAGGGGACATTTTTAATTAAAAGAACTCTGAAGAATCAATATTATGAAAGTGATTTGGTCATCTGAACTTGTCATGGAGGAAACCAATCAGCTGCAAACAAACACTCTTCTTCAGATGTCTGTGTGACTAAGAGCAGTTTGTTCTGTATCAATTTGAAAACCACCAACATGACCCGCTATAGAAAATATTTTCTCATTTCTAGGAGGTGCTCCTTGATGTGTATTTTCTTGATTGGCTCCATCTGTTTTCTAGGGATATATTTGTTTTTCGTTCCTAAGACTTTTAATTACTTTGCTGTTTTAGCAAAAATCAAAGTTAAAGAAAACATTGATTTGAGCTTAATAGAAAGATCTACATTTCCTGCCAAAGAATATGACAAACCTGAGACGGCAAAAAAACCCATTTCCTTCAAAAGCAATGTTTCCAGCTTCAAACAATTCTTACTAAACAGGAAAGTAGGGGAACTAACTGTAAATGCGGCACCATTTGCTAGTGAACTCGATTACATTCCATCCTTTAGGTTTGTTATTAATGAAAGAGATATATGTAATGAAATAACTCCTTTTTTAATACTATTAATAGCAACCAAAGCTGACGAAAAGCAGCACAGGGAAGCCATCAGGAAAACCTGGGGAAATGAATCTGTGGTTCCAGGAATAAAGGTTGTTCGCTTATTTATGTTGGGTGTTAACAGCAAAGAGCAAAATGAAGCCCTACTGAGGGAAAGCAGTCAATATCATGACATCATTCAACAAGACTTTTTGGACACCTACAAGAACCTAACTCTTAAAACCATAATGGGCTTGAAGTGGGTTGCCGCCTACTGTGGTGGTGCAAATTTTGTCATGAAAACAGACAGTGATGTTTTTGTTAATACAGAATATTTAATACAAAGGCTCCTAAGACCACTTATGCCTCCTCCACAGTATTATTTCACTGGCTACCTTGTAAGAAATGGTCAGCCTCATCGAAGTAATGAAAGCAAATGGTACGTGCCAAAGGAAATCTACTCAGCTGAACGCTATCCTGATTTTTGTTCAGGAACTGGGTATGTTTTATCTGGAGCCCTGGCTTCAAAAATTGTCAATGCATCTTTAAAAGTCAAGTATATATACTTGGAAGATATTTATGTAGCTCTTTGTCTTGAACACGAGGGAATTGATATCGTACCCCCACCTGAAAACTATTTGTTTAATTCATATAAAGTCCCATTTTCTCCTTGTACATACAACAGACTGATTACCTCCCATGGAATTTATCCAGATGAACAGATAACATACTGGGAAACATTGCAAAGTAACAAATATGTCTGTGGTAAATAAAGCAAATGTATGGCAGAGATTGTCTGGGATTACAATATTGGCTTCTACAGTATTTCAGCCTTACCATTGCTGAATAAAAACAACGAGGAGTCCGGTGGCACCTTAAAGACTAATAGATTTATTTGGGCATAAGCTTTCATGGGTAACCCCCCCCACACACACACACTTCTTCACATGCATGGAGTGAAAATTACAGATACAGGCATAAATATATTGGCACATGAAGAGAAGGGAGTTACCTTACAAGTGGAGAACCAGTGTTGAGAAGGCCAATTCAGTCAGGGTGAATGTGGTCCACTCCCAATAATTGATGTGGAGGTATCAATACCAAGAGAGAGAAAATTTCTTTTGTAGTGAGCCAGCCACTCCCAGTCCCTATTCAAGCCAAAATTGATGGTGTTAAGTTTGCAAATGAATTGTAGCTCTGCAGTTTCTCTTTGAAGTCTGTTTTTGAAGTTTTTTTGTTGAAGGATGGCTACTTTTCAACCTGTTATTGAATGTCCAGGGAGATTGAAGTGTTCTCCTACTGGCTTTTGTATGTTATCATTCCTAATGTCTGATTTGTGTCCATTTATTCTTTTATTTAGAGACTGTCCAGTTTGGCCAATGTACATGGTAGAGGGGCATTGCTGGTACATGCTGGCATATATCACATTAGTGGATGTGCAGGTGAATGAGCCCCTGATGGTGTGGCTGATGTGGTTGAGTCCTATGATGGTGTCTCTAGACTAGATATGGGGAGAGAGTTCACCATCAACCTTCTATGGAGGAAGAGACAGACTTGACACAATATCCTTCATTAAGATTTCAATTTAATGTATATTTACAAAAAGAAACTTTTTTTTATACTGAAGTTGTATTTTACCCCACAGCACAACTTCAGCATAAGTACTGTTTTGGTATAAATGTGATTGAAATTTGCAATGATTTGGGACTTTTATTCTACTTCACTTCAAAATGAGTTTCAAATAAAAGAATTAAATAAGTGAATTCTCTTTTATTTCCTAACCACATTATAGTTTACTCATGTACTAGCATTTTGTGCTACTTTCTAGTCCCTTGATAATTACCTGTATTTGATTTTTAAACCAAAAGATGCAACAACTGTGACTACTTTCCTTCTCTACAGAAATAGAGGGAAATTATCATGTATTCCCTTAGCTGCTTCTGCAGAGGACAGCTTGAGTGCTTCTTTCATATCTTTTTTTCCAAGCTTTGGCTACATTCTCCTTTTGGGTGCATTCCAGAGCAGGGCAAGTTAAAACAAAATGAGTCCAATGCAGTCATGCAATTGGGTTTCAGTCCGCAGGACTTAAGATTCACCATGATGATCTCTATTCACCTGCTCCAAACTCCTATATTTTGGGGAATTGAGTTCTGCAAGGACTGATGAAGGAACAGAGTAAGTAATTGATGTATGTGTTTATTGTGTGGAATAGTGGATGGTGTGTGACCCTTTCACTGGGTGAGGGGAAAACCAGCCACCTACCTATTGGTGCTGGAAAGACTGCAAAAGTGGGAGGTCAAATTTGAGCAGCATTGCAATGCCATGGACCAGGTCACAATACTCATGCTTCAATGCTCCTTGCTCAAATTTGGCCTACCCATGCCTCCATTATGCCAGCAGCAAAGGATTTCTGTGCTATGATGCCACACAGCTCTAACCAGGGGCCAAGAGAGAATCTTAGCCCCCAGCTCAATAAAAAGAAGCAACAACTACAAGCCAAAAACTAGTCAATAAGCAACTCACAAGCCAATTAAGCTAAACGCAAGACCGACTTCTGTGTTTTTTACCATGGGTTTGCCATGTCTGGGACTGGGCTTTAGAACTGGTGGAGTGGGGGAAGGAGTTGGGGAGACATCTGACAAGGAGCAAGGGTATAGGGGGAGATTTGGGACTGGCTGGGCAAAGAGACTGGGATGAGGGGAGAGGGCACTGCGGAGGGGGATTGGGACTGGAAACCAGTGATGATGGGGGAATGTGGGTAGGGCAATTGGAAGCAGGATTGGGGAAAGAACCAGATCAGAGGAGGAGCTGTGAAGAGGAAAACTGACTGGTTGGGCAAGGAGACTGGGGCTAAGGAGCTCTGGGGAGGCAGCTTCTAAATCTGCCCTCTCCTGAGAACAGGGCCGGCTCCAGGCACCAGCCCACCAAGCACGTTGATTCCAACTGCCACATATGATAATCTTCGGAAGTTTAAGAGCCGCAAGACAGGGTGGTGCCTTTTTAGGTGCGGGTCTTGTGTCCAAACGCCCCCCTGCAGGACTAAAGCCCCAAGACTCCTCTCCCTCCAGGACAGCAGTCCCTAGCCCCACCACCCTGCCACAGGACAGAAGACCCTAACCCCACCACCCCACCAGAAGACAGAAGACCCTAGCCCCATCACCTTAACTGTAAAAAAGCCGCATGTGGCTCACGAGCCACAGTTTGGCCACACCTGGTATATAGGGATTTGGGAACCCCAAAGGGGGTCATGTGAGCTCTCTAATGAAATCCTGTGTCATACTGGTCCCTTTATTCATTGTAAGATGTATGTACAGATGATATTTAAGGAGTTGTGTGTCTGTACAAAAAAATTGTTCTTAAAGCATGTGAAGTGACCTACCTTAGAAGGGATTCCCCCCAACAGGAGGTTTAAAAACAAAAGTTTGTCTCTCTGGTTACATGTAAATGAAGTACTATATGATTCGCAATGAAGGCCCATTCACTTACTTATGGAGGGATAGGAAATCAACATGAAAGAAGCATATAGAAAAAAAAAAGCCCATAGGGGAGTTATGTTGTTTGTAAACTAAAACATTGGCTTGGGAAAATATTTATGCAGGGTTCAGAAGAACCCCAGGATATTCCTTCAGTGTGATTGGACAAGCTGTAAGTGATCTTATGAAAAGGGGTATTTGCCTGAAAAAGCTGGAGAAAGAACTTGATGTAAGCTTTCTTGTAGGAGATAGGGGAATGACTTGTTAGTTAGCTTTCCTCTCCAGAAAGCAGGTTATGATTTTGTTTTATATATAACAGTTTGTTTCCCCTGTTCTTACGCACTATCACTTGAATCTCTGTACTTTAAGAATAAAGTTTTCATTGTAAGTATATCTGTGTTGTGTGTTCAGCAAAGCCATGTTCTAAGGCAGTGGTTCTCAAAGCCGGTCCACCGTTTGTTCGGGGAAAACCCTTGGCGGGCCGGGCCGGTTTGTTTACCTGCCGTGTCCGCAGGTTCGGCTGATCGCGGTTCCCACTGTCCGTGGTTCACCGCAGGACAATGGGTGCGGCGGGAAGCGGCGCAGGCCGAGAGACATGCTGGCTGCCCTTCCCACAGCCCCCATTGACCTGGAGAGGCGAACCGTGGCCAGTAGAAGCCACGATCAGCTGAACCTGCAGACACGGCAAGTAAACAAACCGGCCCGGCCTGCCAGGGGCTTTCCCTGAACAAGCGGCGGACCATCTTTGAGAACCACTGCTCTAAAGGTATAACTAGTCCCCGTAACTAGGCCTAGTAACTCTAAGAGTGTTCAGTGGATAAGGGGCTGGATACTGGAAGGGTTGGTCGAAAGACTCGGGGGTGACTGTGTGCCCATCGCTAACCTGTACAGAGAAATGGAGGCCTGTAGAAGGCAGTGCTTGTGTTCCCAGGGGCTGGTGCTTTCAGGGAGCTGATCCACAGCAGGCACAGATAAGACTTCCTCACACGAGGGGTGGAAAGTGATGAGGTGCTTCACAACCCTGGGCCCTCTTGGAAGTGTCACAAATGTATAATAAAGGAGAAGAAAATAAATATCCACATAATATATAATATTATAAATAAATATCCAAATAACTAAAGGAGGAGATAACGCTTAACAAGGTAAAATGTCTATGTAAGTCAGTTACTTTGAGCCTCCACCCAGCTAAAAATATAAGAGATTAGCTACTAGTCATAGCAACGCTTAGGAGCCAGTACACCAATTACGGGAAGAAGCGACTGGCTGTGTTAATTGTGAAATTATAGAAAATCAGGTCTGATTCTCTGGAAAGCAGAGATGATAGCAGGGAGGAATCACATGTGCACACACCCATGGTGTCATGACTGAGAGGTAAAGATCAATCATGGATGGTACAAACTGCACCTGGCTAAAGAGTGAAGAGCCCAGAGGATTTCTAGCAGGATCACTGTGCCCTGCAGGAGTTGTAGACAAATGTAGCACCTTCTCTCAAGGAGCTGAATGCTCTTTCCTATTCTGCTGTGTGTGGAGCAGGACAGAAGACAAACCCAATGCCCCCCATTATCATCCTCTATATGGAAAGAAAGGCAAAATAAAATGTTTTAATTGTGTTTAAGATTACATAGAAGGAAATGTGCCTTTTGCCTTGTGCACCACAATGGGGAAGAGGAAAGAAGTGTTGCCAAATTACATGATTTTATTAAGGACCTCATGATTTGGAATGTTTTCCTCATGGTCTCAGCTGCTGGAGTTCAACTGTTTGGAAATCTCAGCTTTCATTTTCATAGAAAAGGGAAGTGTCTATCCCTCGTGATTGAAGCAAAAAGTTTGGAAATGTAAACTGAGTACACCCTAAGGGCTCAGGAATCAGAAGGAAAATTAAAGAAAACCTAAAAATGATTATTTTTTAAAAATCTCATTTCATGATTTATGATTCAATGTTTGTGGTTTACATTACTAGGAAAGCAATTTGTTTTTGCTATGGGCTCAGTGCACTGAGTGCAATATGGCTTATCAGTGAAGAGTATGCCTGTACTCCATAAACTACTAGTACCCTGCTTTCTTTATAAAAAGACAGCCATCCACCAGGTGAGCGTTAGTCTTTCAGGTGGGCCAATAGCTAGAAAGGGGCAAATTCCAAACTCCTGATACTTATGCATATTTTTCCAAACCTTGCAGGTCTTGGAATCCAGACTGTATATCAGGCTAGCTAATGAGATTTCCTATATCTGCAGTTTTCATTCAGATCCAAATGATGAAAACTGGTTGGAAACGGGAATTTCTATTCTGTGGGAAATTCCAACGTTTAAAATCAAGTAAATAAATCACATTGATTGTGCAGAAGTATTCTAAACAAAATTCCAAAAAGCTTTTTGATTCAAAATCATCAAAAAGTGTTGATTTCATTGACCAAGTTTCAGCTTGTATATTAACATTTTAAATAGAAAATATTATATATAATAAAAATATAATATTTTGCATTATATAAAAATGAAGT